TGCTACGATGAGAAATAAAAGCATAGAAGAACTTTTTTTTTTTTTTTTTTTTTTTTTTTCCGGCCATTCAAAGGAATACTGGAACAGGTAAGATAAGGTGACCACACTAGATATCCACACTAGATAAGGTGCTAATCAATAATTTGAATCTTGTGGATAGAATGAATAAACTTCAGCTTGTTGCTACGTTCTCCGGGACTTGACAATGTCAAGTGTGAACAATACTAACTGAAAGAAGGATTGGAGTAAGGAAGGAAAGTAATATGGTGCGAACAGTGTTATCGAAACTAAGTGAAAAAAGCCGATAGAGACTTATCTTAAATGCAGATGAATTGCTGTCTCTGCAAGGGGAAATGGACTAAAGAAACAGTCACAATGCATGCAGGTGTGGTATAGTTCAAGGAAACAGATCCTGTTCAAGGAATATGGTCGTGGCGTCTTTCCTTTCCGTGTCTTGTGAACCAAACGTTCAGTTTCTGTGGGCTCCTGGGTAATAAACCCTATTCCAGTAGAGCAAAAGAATTTTTTTCACTTTTCGAGTGTTATCGAGCATGAAGACTTCCGTGTCTGGAAAGGAACCGTTTTCTAGGAATTATCTTTTCAATGTTGACTATGCTCGGAAATTGCTTAGCTCCATGGAGGATACCTTATTGCCAATCCATTGATTTCCAATTCAATGCTGCCACTGCCATAACAGCAATATGTGCACTAGTTTTCTTGGAACAAAATGATTGTTTCTTGATCAAATCCGGCCTTTTCTCCTAGATATTTCATAAATAGTTTTTTTTTTTTTTTTTTTTTTTTTAGAAGTTTGTGTACTAGTCACTGTTCATTGTCAGCGCACGGCTTGGCAATGCTTACATTTGCCGAGCGGCTAAATCCTACACACGGAATAGAAGAAATTCAACCAATTAAAAAGTCCGTTGAACTAGGGACTTTTGGCATCATTTTCTGTTCGCCAAATGCAATTTTTATGCAAAACTGGTATACCAGAAAGTGCTTGTTATGATAACGTTTTGGTTTTGTTATAGTAAGTCTTCATACTTCCTTAGGTAGAAGTAGTTTATTTTGTTTTGGTTATTATTTTACGGTACGTGGATATGATTTTATATTTAATTTACTGTAGGGGCGATAAATCAAGAAAGTACAATATTTAGGCAAACTCCTAGTATTGTGCCCATGACGGTATTTTGAAAATTGTCACCAGCATCAGAATGACTCATTTACTGTTCATTCATTATAAATACCGCGTTTAGTGCTTATCGTAATGTCGCCAAAAGACGCCAAATCCCGTGTGAATGTATATTATAATTAAGAACAATACTTATTGTGACTAATTTAAATCTGAATTTCTAAAACAAATACGACAACTTTGATAAAACAAATACATTATCCTACTCAATTTGCTCGGTATTCAGCTTTTGACCCTTCACTTACTATTGATAAAAGGATACTATTTGGTTTTGAGGGCCGTAAAAAATCGCTCGCCAAACTATTGTTGATGCTAGTGCTGCCAAAAATAATTGCGGCAACCCTAATGCAAGAAAGGAAGTATTCCAATAAGTATTTGGATACTACTACCAATAAGTATTTGGATACCTGTGATAGAAAAGAAAAACTAACTTTATTCAAAATCAATAGTTGGTAGAGTCTTACGAGAGGTAATTACAGCGTGGACCCTCCGGGGCATATTTTCCACAAGTTTTTGTATGACAGCTAGTGGTATTTCCTTCCCACTCAGCTTGGAGAAGACATAGAAGTTCCTTCACCGATTTTGCACGGGTAGTGCACCCCTGAATTCGGCGATGCAACTCGTTCCAGAGGTTCTCGATAGGGTTCAGGTCTGGACTCTGGGCAGGCCAGTCCATTCGATGAACTCCATTGGCACCATACCAAGCCTTGATTAACGTCGAAACATGACAACTGGCATTGTCGTCCTGAAAGTAACAGAGATCCAACCCGTAAATCTGCCACAACGTAGGAAGCCTATTGTCATCCAAAATAGTGCAGTAGGCATCGGAGTGGAGCTTACCATGAATGGGGACCAAGGGTCCCAGCCCATACCAGGAGAAACACCCCCAGACCATAATTCCACCTCCGCCGAACTTGACTGTTGGCACAATGCATTCTGGCAGGAGACGTTCTCCAGGTAGACGCCAGACCCTGCCATCCGAACGGTAAAGGGTGAACCTTGATTCATTACTCCAAAGAATCCGTTTCCACTGATCTACGGTCCAATTTCGATGTGCTTTGCACCACATTAACCGAGCAGCGCGGTTGGACTTTGTAAGCAAAGGCTTATGGGCAGCAGCACGACCATAAAAACCAAGCAGATGTGCTTCCTTACGGATAGTATTCATTGAAACAATACTCCCGGATGCCTGTTGAAACTCCTCCCGGATGAGGGCCATCGATTGGGTGCGGTTCTTCCGAATTTCTCTGGACAGCACTCTTCGGTCTCTATCTCCCAGTTTCGTTGGTCTGCCGACTCGGGGAACGTTCCGACAATCACCGCTCAACTTCGACTTCTTAATCACATGGGTCACTGTCGATTTTGGGTACTTCAGATCGCTAGATATGTCCCTTAAGGATCGGCCACATTTGTGATACCCGATAATTATACCTTTCTCGAAATCAGAGAACTTCGAACTGCAAGGCATCTTGCATGCGACTAAAGCCGATGGTGTTTCCTACACGATATATACCGGCGGAGTCCGTGAAATACCTTTGGACCGCAGATATCGTCATTTGCATAGGAGTGCAAATACTTATTGGTAGTCAGTGTAGTAAATAACTATTTAAGATTGATGTTTTAATTTAGACGAAAGGTTAATTTCATATAATACTTTATTACACTCTAAATTCGAAAGAGTCCTATCCGACTCTAAAGGAGTGATATCCCACCTCCCTCTAATGCCAAAATGGCACCAACCTCGAAGGAGCGATATTTCACTCTAGTAAAAAGCGGTCCCTTTTCACACAAAAACAGGAGTGACCCTTACTTCGTTCGCTCTTCTTCGATAGTCAGATATCGCCCGATATTCGGGTGAAACCACACACATTACAAGGAGTTATAATAATAGTCTGCTCACTCCTTGATGGTGCGATTTTTATATAATTATTTTATAGGCAAACTGAAAATTGGTATTTGCTATGTAAACTTTATAGCTGATGTATTGTTTTAGATATCTGGTTAATATTATCTCTTGAAAAAAATATTTTACACTACTTTTTAACATGCTATTGTGATTTTAATTATCTGATATACACATCTGTTTTAGATTTGCTACCTATGTACTTACTTAAACATTTATTGGCGATGAGATTTCTTTCCAGATCTAACGAAATATACATATAAAAAAATTTACATCCATATTAAAATATTGGAAATTCGGTGTAGTTAACATTCTGAAATACTTAACACTACCACTTTCTCACAGAATATATTTTATTTTACAGAAACATGGCTTTTGCCTTTATGTGTAGTAAGCAATAAAAATAAGAACGTCAATGCAACTTATATATAAAAACTGGATTATGAATCAAAGTAGACCATCACTGAAATAAAAAAACACAGTTTAAAGACAATCATATCTTCATTGTTTAGACATATAGTTTTTCTTTCCAAATCTAACGAAATATACATATAAAAAAATTACATCCATATTAAAATATTGGAAATTCGGTGTAATTAACATTCTGAAATACTTAACACTATCACTTCCTCACAGTACTTCTGATGTGAAATTACTTTGAACTCACAGAATATATTTTATTTTACAGAAACATGGCTTTTACCTTTATGTGTAGTAAGCAATAAAAATAAGAACGTCAATGCAACTTATATATAAAAACTGGAATAGCAAGATATTCGCAATGAAAAACTTAACTTTTGAATAAAAAATAAGGTTTTTCAGGTACTTAAAACTTTGAATAAATATTCAGATATTTTCAAAATTTGATTTGAGAAATCAAAAAATGCTTAGTTTCATAAAAGAAATTTAAAAAAAAATCATTTTAGATGAATCATATATATATATATATATAGTGATATACATTCTAAATTTTGTATACATATTTTAATTTAAAAAAGCAAATTATGCTTATTCACAAGATTTGGGCACGTAATCATGTAAATTGTAAGCTAAATTTTCCATTAAATAATCATTCTAGTTGGAAAAGTAATTTATTAAAAATAGTTCTTGATAAATTTTATAATGAAAATTTGAATGTGTTAGAACAGCTGATCATATATATATATGTGTCAGTAAACCTGTATCATAATCTGATAGATTTAACTTCTTAAAATGCTACTTATAAGTGACTATATTAATACAATTTGTGAATTGATGTTACTAGTAGTTTGTCTACTTGAGCATAATATGCATAAAAAAATCGAATAATAAATTTTAATATACATTGAAGTAAGAAACAAATGCGAATTTAATTTCCCTTACATGAAAACTATTCAGCTTTATTTTTAATGTATGAGATTCAGAAAATAAGTAACCATAAAATACTCTCATGCTATTGTTTTTAGCTTCATATATTGCACAAAATATTGCAAAAGAAATGTTTCTATTTCTTATTACATAATTATGAAGAGCTTAAAATTAATTATTACCCCAAATTATGAATAAAGTCTAAAATCTTCAGTTAGCTTGTTACGCTTTCTATTTTTGAGAAGTTATATGCATACAAATTCCTATACATTAATCATTACAGGTGAATAAATGCTTACATATACTTTTAGACTATAACTTATTTTTTATATATGCTAATTCCAAGTCTCATTTGGGAAAAATAAAGTAAATTTTTAAAGTGAAATAATATGGATTATAGCTCACATGTGTAAGCTAAAAATTCATTTTTCATAATTCTGCTGAAAATTATTATGTATTTCATTTATTGATTAAATCCGAATAGGAATCATTACCATAACTGCAGAATTATAATAATTTCAATGAACAAAGTATTTTAAATATAAGTGAAAACAAGCATTGCATGAAAAACTCTTTATTAGGAAATATATGTACATATATATACATATATAAAAATGGAAAATATGACACTAAAATGACATTAAAAATATGAAATGTAATGCATGTACAAAATGCAATAAATTCAGCTACTCAAACATGTATTTAAAGAGTCCACACAAGCTCTAGGAGTGCTGACATTATACAAAAGGCTTGCCACAAAATTATAAAAATTTGTTGATGTATGTGCATATTGAACGCTAAATACAAAATTAGTTTTAAATAGAATGTCAAATGCCTTCATGGCATGATTTGGGCATGCTTTTAAGTGATTTACTGCTTTAATATAGAATGAACTTGTAATGCACACTATAATGGGCTGTTTATTCTGAGCTGGTCCAAGAGATTCCATGTCTTCCATTCCCTGAAAATAAATTTCTTTATTAAGAATACATCCATTACCTATCTATTAGGAGAAGTCAAATACCAATGAGCCATACTAGAAAGTTTATCTTTCCAATTAAAAAATATCGCCAGAAAATTTTTCTTCTTTCAAAAATAAGTAATTCCTAGTAATTTTATTCACATAGAGGTCTTTTGCTTTTAGTTTCTGTAAAAATGCAGTATAAATACATATAGGAATATGTAAATGTTATATTGATGCAAATATAAAATAGGATAGTCTATCTGTGCGTTGCTTCTTAATGAAAAATGTAATAAAAATAATGTACATAAAAATGTAAAAAGAACAAACTATATGGAGAATTAGTCTGTCTTTTCCTTATGAAAACAAGTATCATCCCTTCATAATAAACTATTGTTGTTCATAATAAACTATTGTTATTGTAAAGATGTTTGTTCTTGATTTCATGATCGCTATAGTCTGGCTGGAAGTGTATCTTTTGAATTTCACCTTGAAGCAATTTTTCCATCACTTTACAAGTTAAAAAAAAAAAAAAAAAAATCTATGTTCACTGTATATACATGCATATATATGATTAGTGTCATGCTTTAGATTTAGATCATATAAAGGCATCACACATATTACAAACCATCTTATTCTCTCGAAATATTTGCTAGTATGTAGGTGACATTCAAATCAATGCAATTCCAATTCTACAGAAATTAGCTAAATGACCATGCATCATCTGTGGGTACAATAGTCGAAAGCAGCCTGAGAAGATGAATTTTAGCCACATGAGGCCAAATACATTCACTGCTGTAAAATGGCTCATTTTAATATAATCTGCCCTCTTAAAATGAAAGTTAGTGCAAAGCATATCAAAATTCCTCAATACTTACATTTAGCAAATATTAGAAGTGCAGAATTTGGATTTTTTTTTTTTTTTTTTTCAAATAACAACCTGATGCTAAAATACTTGTTTTTGCCTTTACCCTACAAAAATAAAAATAAAAGTATATATAAAAGACATATACTGGATAAAAATTGCATGTGAAATGTAATAATTAATTGAAACTATATAAATATCACACATGAACCTTTCAAGATAGAATATGTAGCAAATTTCAAAGTATATGCAGCAACTCAGCTCACTTACATATAGTATCAATAGCTTATTTACATATACATACACTGCAAACTAAAAATATTATCCTATGAAAAGAATTTTATAGCTAAGCATATGAAATTATTTTTTATGCATAGACTTATGCCAAATATTTACTCATTAATAATGAATAAAACCTTTTTCCCTCTTTCTTTCCAATAATTTTAGCTGAGCAAAAGTTCTGTGAGCAAAACTAATGCTTTTAGGTCATCTATATATATATATATATAAAATACACACGTTTATTACATAATGATTACAAAAATATCATTAAAAAGGCCTTTGGCACTAGAGGCACATGCATTTACCGCTTATCTTTAAGAGCCAGAAGGAAAAAACTATAAGCCATTTAAGAATAAAGACCAATGTGAGTAATAGATGCAAAATTACTTTACTCTAGGTAATTAAAAAGTAAACAAAGAAAAGTTTTAAAGTATTCTATCATTTATAATCCTAATTAAATTCTATCATTTATAATCCTAGTTGAATTTTTAAAGATTTTTACCACTGAAATCAGCAATACTTGGTACCAGAAGATCAGGGCGTTTTGTTTCCACATATTTCAAAATTCTTGGGACATAAAAAGATGAAAACTGTTTTTTAAATGTCTATCATTAGAAATTGTTTCAGTTTCGATACAATTTCTTACATGGCTATTAGACAAAACCATTTCAATTGTTTTTATGACTGAAACATACTGAAATGTTTCTTTTACAATTTTGGTTTCAAATTGACCTGTTTTTGTATTCAGAGCTTGATCCAATCTACTGCCAAGCATAATTTCGACAGCTTCGATAAAATTCTGACAGCTTTTCAAAGCCTTTATTTGTCCTTTAGTTGCTGACATGCCATCAAAAATCTGCCTAATGGGAAGAATGCCTCCGTGGAGGTCTTTCTAAGGCAAACTGGTTCGTATACACGTTACACATGGAGAAAACCACAAAAAAGTCCATGCAGCCAGCTCCTTCATGCGATTCAAACTCTGGACCGAACTACCAGTGCTCAGCGACTTTGCCGCTGGTGGGTAATATTCAGGGGATGTGCATTAATGTTCGGAGAAAAAGCATGATATTAAGCATTTGTAAGTAAACAGCCTGTTAAACATGGTATTTAGGGCATATAAATTAAAATGAGCGCAGGGGCGTAGCTAGAGGAGGGCAAGGGGCATCTGTCCCCGGGCGCAGGATCCAAAGGGCGCCAAACTGATGTTACGGCATTTTAGAATTAAATGTTTTCCATCCTTGGGAAGCAGTAGGGGGCGCGAAATCTTCAGTTGTCCCTGGGCGCTGAAAACCCTAGGTACGACTCTGAATGAGCAGCAAGAAATATAATATTAAGCATACGTAAGTAAAATTTACATAAAGTAAATATTAGTTACTGAAATCAATTTGGCCTTCCCCCATTTTCTCAAAATTGTTCCAAAAACTGTTCCGTTAAGAAAATTTTCGGCAACTTATCTTAGAAGGAAAACATTCTTTAAACGCAATTTAATATTTCTTTGACTGTATCTCAACCATTATGCTTAATTTCATGCCGAGACAAGTACTCGGGTATGCAGTTTTGTAAATTTTCTTTGCAAACACTTTAAAATCACTTTTAGGAAACATAGCATGGAAATCAGGTAAAATAATAATAAACTGAGAAAAAATGACACATGCAAATAAATTTTGAACAGCAGCGAAAAGAAAGCGAGGAGGCCGCAAGAGAATTCTACCAGCTTTGTGCTTTTGCAGCGTTTACATTTACTGGATTCTTTGCGGTAGTGTTTTCGAAGGCAGAGAGGTGGAAGGATGGTAACTTTGAACTTCTGCAGTTCATAAAATTTCAGAATGCAGTTCCAAATACTGATATACATCTGTAAATTTTTTTCATGACTGTTGCGAGAAAGAATTTTGCAAAGTACAAATGGATTGAAAAATACCTAAGACTGAGAAATTGTACCATATTGTTTACAAATCAGCTGATGAAGTAGTGAATTAAATTTTTAGAATGCTATTAATGATTTTATTTATAGAAAAACAAGCAAAATAGTACTTTACGGTATTAGAATTAATGTTTTATTTCAAAAATAAACCCAGATATTTTGTTTTTTATGTATATCATTTTGACATTTTTATAGACTTTTTATTGTGCACTGAGTGAGGCAGCAAGAACTCTGGCTACACCTCTAACAGTGTTCACATAACTTAGTTATTGAAAATGTAAACAAGCTGTGTTACCTGAGTCTTTAAATCCTATCTAAACCAGAAAATGAATTCATATGAGTTTATTAAAATCAGGTTACTTACATTTCTTTCCTACTTTAAAGGACTGTGGATAAGAAAAGGTTTATAAGACTTGTTTGATACAACAATAGCTTTTGCTAATGTAAACAATTATATTATTTTGAACATTACTTCATCAGATCCTCACTCATTTTAATATCACTAGGAGAAGATATAATAACTAATTGAAATGAAAAGGCAATAATCTTGAAAAGTAATAAGTAAATGTCATTAGTTTAACTTTCTAACTATTGAGTTGATGTATATGAATTAATCTATGAATCATTTTAGAATTATCATTTAAATTAGTATATATTTCGACAATTTTGAAAGTATGCCTGACAAGTTTTCTTAGAAGGGGGAAATAAATAAATAAAAATAACCCGTCGAATTAGGTTTTTTCTCCCGCAATAGAAGGGGGAGGGGAAGCTGTTTTTTAATTGTGCATTTCTATTATCTGTTAAAAATAAGTTAATTTTTTTAAATATGATAGGCGCTGCCACAAATATAAGGCAATATTGCTTAATTTTCATATTATAAAATAAAAATGCATCAAACATTTAGGTTTTATGGCTTACATATAAAAAGTCGTTTTGTTTCAGTTGAAATAAAAATGTTTAGATATAAACGAATTTTACTATTTAATTAAGTCTGAAAAAAACATGCCTTACATTTTTTAGAAATAAATACTGTTTTTTTTTAATTTTCTTATTTGCATTAAAAGAAATAAACATTTGGTGTACATATTATATATTGGCATATACGTATATTTGTCAGTAAATACATATTTAGCATAAAATAAATACATGTATATAGCATATAAAGTCAACTAAATATCTGGAATTTTCAAAAATCCGGACTAGGTATAGTTTTTAATTTAAAACAGAGTAGAAAATAAAAATTACCTTTTAGGACATTAACAGCATCTTCGGGAACTTCTTGCAGTTATAAAAATCTGATAATTTTGAACTATTATGTAACGCCTCCTGAAAAAAGTATTTTATTGTGCTACAGTTTAAAAAAAAGACAAGGGCCAGATAAATTTGACAATTTGCTGTGGCACAAGTATTAGGAATATAGAACCTATGTAGAATGGGACAAGGTACTAAAATTTTATGCTTGGTCTTTGATTGAAAATGAATTCTCATCAGGGGCGTAGCTAGAGGGGAGCAAGGGGGGCATCTGTCCCCGGGCGCAGAATCCAAGGGGCGCCAAATTGATGTTACGACATTTTAGAATTAAATGTTTTCCATCCTTGGCAAGCAGAAGGGGGCGCGAAATCTTCAGTTGTCCCTGGGCGCTGAAAACCCTAGCTACGACTCTGATTCTCATTAAATAGTTATCTGCATGAATTACCTGGAATATTTAATAATACAATAGTTTTCAGTTTGTCATCAGAAAATCAAAACTTATTATTTTTTTTAAATAGCTGGGTTTTCTTTTAGTCCAAAGGGGCAATTCTCCCAGAAGGACTGTTAATTTCGTTTTGGCATTTTGCATATATTTTGCATTTTGCATATTCCCGATATGTTTCATTTCAAATTGCTGCCACCAAACATTATATTTAAAGAAATTAAATAATGAAGAATCTGCATGAATGTATGTATGTTTCTCGCATTATAATAAAACAACGGTACCTAGAGCCAACAAAATTTGAATAAGGTAATCTTCCATAGAATATGGGCATGTGGAAGCCCTAATTTGAATTTGAAATTGGTTTTATTATTTGCTTTATTATTTAATATTTTGTAATACTTCAACGAATTTTTGATTAACAAAGTAAACGATTTCAAAGCGAGCAATGGCAAGACTGTACGAGTAAAAAAAAAATATATATATATATATATATATATATCTCAGCTCGCGAGACTCTGTATTGGAAATTCTAAAGATATGTTCATTTTAAAATTATTTTGCGATATTGCTGTTGAATGTTTTTATGGTTTAAGTGCGAAGAACGTGATATTTAATAAATAAAGGTAACACACAAAATGTTAAAAAAATGCCCCTTTGGACTAATTTAAAATCTGAAGCTTTCAGTCTTTTTTTAAAGAATGCAAGATTTTTTTTAAATCGTAAACGGAAAGCCGTCTTAGCAGCTTTATTGGCCTCCCGGACTTTTGAATGTTCAAGAGGCCTTAGTTACACCTACACTCTCGAGAATAACAACATATTTGCAAAAATATAAGTTTTAGAATGCTGATATGACCCAGGTAGTGCTAGTATTTATATTTTGGAAAAATTCAGCTTTGCAACAGTAAGTGAATTTTATTGTCACAAACTATAAGCAGAATTTATAAAAAATGAAAGTTAAAAATCTATTAAAAACTACTAGAAGCTGAAAACGATATGAGTTCAATAGGAAATTCAGTAAAGTATACGGTTTTTATTTCTTCCAATACTACCAAATAATTTACACACTTGTGTGTTATAAAAAAATCAAAACTTTAGTATGCATTTTTTTTTTCCACCGCTGTTCTTCCTATTTGAAATAGGAATGCATGCAAAACTAAATTTAAATAATTAAATTCGATAGCTTTGTGTAAATTGTTCAAAAATAAAAATAATGTTAAGAATTATTTACAAAAAGTACCATCCATACGTACAGCTTTCATTGTGTTAGCAGTACATAATAAATAAAACTACGTTACAGCATTACACTCTTAAAGCAAATTTACAGACACCTAAAAAAAAGAGCAAACTAACTATAATTTATAATAATTAAGATATTTATATTAAGAAATAATTGTATATATATTTTAAAAGCGAACTTACTTTTGGCAAAGGAGCTGTATCCATTGTTACGACTGTCCTCGCTTGAAATGGCGCTTAGCCAAAGACGTTCTTTGGCTTAGCAAACTTGTTTGGTCAGTCTGGGTGGACGATGACAAGACAGGGGGTCGTCCTGCTCCTTCAATTCACTCCCTTCCCCAAGGTTATTATTGCAAGTGGGAAACATGTTCTGCTACCAAGACAGTAAATTTGCGTTGTTTGACACGCAACGGAGCGAAAACTGCTGTCACCCTCCAAATCCCACTCTGCGAGATTTAGAGTGAAAAAGGCTAAAACATGACTAAATGGAAGCATAAGAGTAAATAACTACTTCAGATCATTATTATAATTTATATAAAAATTACTAAACATAACTGAATGGATGCCTGCATCGCTATTTCGCTACCGAGTTATTGCTAAAGCATAATATCATCTCGTTGGTTGTTCAAACATAAATTTCTATAATGAATGATGCCTTTTCTTTGAAAAAATTCTCGGTAAAGTGCAGAATCGCTCACTTATTTGTTTGCCGCTTTTTACAAGGTTGAAAACAATTGGATTTCTGTAAATTTTCTTTTACTTTTTAAGTGAAAAATAGGTCGATGTGTACATGGATAAAGTCAACGGCGTGAGCAGTGACATTTTTGTGCAATTCTGGGAATTTGTTTTTAAGTGAAAATAGGTCGATGTGTACATGGATACCGAGTATGTGCAATTCTTAAAAACGCGTCAAGCAGTGGGTGATTATGCACTTTACCCAAAATTCTATTGTAGACTTTTCGTCATGGGCAATTCCCAAATTGTTAAATTCATACGATATCAAAAAAGGATTTAAAATCAAAAAAGGATTTAAAAATTAAACTATTATTTCAATGGCGTCTTACAAAATATAGAACTATATAAACTTAAGCAATCTGAAATCAGCGCGTACGCTAGATCTGGCGCGCTGTAAATGGGCGCGTTTTAGATTTCGCGCTTTTGCGCATACATTTTCCCTGCAATTTTTTTTACGGCCCTCAAAACGGAACAGTACCGATAAAAGTTATTATTTCGTGCACTGTAAACATCATAAAATTCAATAAAGAAAAATAATCTAATAATTTGCCTACTTTTTTTTAAACTGCTAGATCTTAGAATTCTTCTTTTCATGTATTTTTTTTTTTTTTTTTTTTTTTTGGCAATGTATTTTGTTCTAGGTAAAATTGTACCAACAAAAGCTCCTACCGAAATATAGAAAATGAACTGATTATTCGGATAATCTATATATTAAAATGCTGACGTAGGGTAGCTCATAAAATTTCAGCTAACGTATTTAACTCCCAAATGAAAGAATAATTCAGAAATTAACATGAAACTTCTTTTATGTATTATTCTCTATCTAAATATTTCTATTTCATTTCATTGTGCTACATAAAAATAAAGCTGTAATTTGCTAAATCTTGCCAAAAAGCAACATTAACACAATCAAGTAATTTTTGTTCGTGACAAATCCCTGTGGAGCATTAGTAGCTAAATTATCAGCTTTAGTAGTCTTTAGAGTTTATAATTATATATTAGGAAATAACATAGTCTTCAATCTTGCAGTTTTTACTTTGTTTGTTTATGGTTGCTCTGAATGGTTATGATTTCAGATGTCATTTATTAATCCCTAGCAGAAATTCTATAAGTTTTCTTGATATCCCATGCATTTCTGTTTTCTAATTTTTCTCTAATTTGTATTTTGTAAGAAGCAACAAATTTATTTTCTAGCCTACACATCTACTGCTTATTTCACGATGCAACTCATGTTTTGGGAACTTCTGTTCTAGTTTATTCAGTGTCTGAAATCTGCGTTTCCAGAAAGTAGAGCCGGCTATTTCTATAAACGAATGCAAATGTGCACCTTTATGAAAAACACCGTATTGGCACAAGGTGAAACCAGTATACCCCTCATTTCCTTCGGAACAGACAGACCGCATAATTGACAGCATCACCCATTGCTATATGTGCTGTATTGTTTCTAGAGGAGATCATATTCCATATTGAAGGTAATCTTGCTATACTAAACTGATACATCCGATCTGTTGATTTTATTCATATGCTATTTATTAATTATTGTTCATTGAACGGGAGTTGGTTTATTCCCCTTGAAAAGTCAACTAATTTCCGATCAATGACAATGATTACATGCATTTAATTTAATTCTTGCCTTTAATTTATTCCTTTTACAATTGTAATTTTGTTATTCATGATTTAATTCCAGTCCCCGTTAAAACATTTTTAACATTTTACTTTCAAGTTACTTCAAAACATCTTTCAAAATATAACTTACTAGATTCATTCTTTTAAGATAATCCTACTATAATTAAACTTAGGAGATAATATAATCAATTAATCAATATTATTTAGTAAATATATATATACATATAGATATAATAATTTATTTACTAATGGATACTACATATTTAGACTGATATTTAATACCTATATATGTGGTGTGGTTTGTATAATATCAGTCTAAATATGTAGCTAGCTTTTTTTCCTGTTTTAATAGATGTAAAACAGGAAAAAAAAAATGTTAATTACTAAATCTCAGTTATTGAATTATTCACGTTTGTCAAAGTTTTGTAGCAGTTGTGTTAAAACTTTAAGAAACAAATATTTAAAAGGAAGAAGAAATAAGCTAATTTTTTTACATTGAAGGCACATGTTTTAAAATTTTTGTCGAGAATTGCACCAGGAAAGCAAATAATTAATTAAAGATAATTAATCAAAAGTGTTTCGTTCGTAGTTCTTTTAAGTGTATAGTTAATATGCATCAGTTTTACTTAGAGAGTCTTCTACGAAAGCATCTCTCGCTGAAGCAGAATATAGACATAGCTTTGTGTATCTTGCCATAATTAATAAATACATTCAAGTGAAAATACTATGCATGTATTTATATAAAAAAACAAAACTGAATACAAGCCTCTGTCGTAAATGCGAGCAAGTTTTCCTCACAGTCTTCTGCGAGGCACCCCTTGCTATAGGAAGATAGCTGTTATGTACTTTGCCACATTCACTTAATATGAAAATAAATTCCCATTTAAAAAAGGTCTGCCTATTATAAAAAAGAAGAAAAAAATGTGCACTTCTGTTATAAATTATAATTACTAGATTCATTCTTTTAAGATAATCCTACTATAATTAAACTTAGGAGATAATATAATCAATTAATCAATATTATTTAGTAAATATATATACATATAGATATAATAATTTATTTACTAATGGATACTACATATTTAGACTGATATTTAATACCTATATATGTGTGTGTTTGTATAATATCAGTCTAAATATGTAGCTAGCTTTTTTTCCTGTTTTAATAGATGTAAACAGGAAAAAAATGTTAATTACTAAATCTCAGTTATTGAATTATTCACGTTTGTCAAAGTTTGTAGCAGTTGTGTTAAAACTTTAAAGAAACAAATATTTAAAAGGAAGAAGAAATAAGCTAATTTTTTACATTGAAGGCACATGTTTTAAAATTTTTGTCGAGAATTGCACCAGGAAAAGCAAATAATTAATTAAAGATAATTAATCAAAAGTGTTTCGTAGTTCTTTTAAAGTGTATAGTTAATATGCATCAGTTTACTTAGAGAGTCTTCTACGAAAGCATCTCTCGCTGAAGCAGAATATAGACATAGCTTTGTGTATCTTGCCATAATTAATAAATACATTCAAGTGAAAATACTATGCATGTATTTATATAAAAAAACAAAACTGAATACAAGCCTCTGTCGTAAATGCGAGCAAGTTTTCCTCACAGTCTTCTGCGAGGCACCCCTTGCTATAGGAAGATAGCTGTTATGTACTTTGCAGCATTCACTTAATATGAAAATAAATTCCCATTTAAAAAAGGTCTGCCTATTATAAAAAAGAAGAAAAAAATGTGCACTTTTGTTATAAAAATGAACTTCAAAAATTATTTCATGCATTTCAAATACTTAGGGTCATATATTTCACATATAGGTGCAGTATGTAAATCAAAATCATATCATATAGAGTAAACCCGAACGCAGACGGTACAAATTTCAAAAACAACTAGCGGCAAAGGATTTTCAGATATGGAAGAAGGAGATGTACAAGAATTAATCGAGAAATGACGAATAAAGAACTGAAGGATCTTATAACCTCAGTAAAAATGATTATAATGAAGAGGGAAATACAAAGGCTTAAACTTACAAGAAGTTAAACGAATCGTTAAAAAAGGCAAGGGAACTGTCTGATTTTATAACGGAAATTGATTCAAATGGAAGAAAGAAAAAACACATTATGAGAGACATTGAAAAATCTACGTTCCTTACCAAGAGATTTTTAAAGAGTAGCGTTGATTAATCTCTCAAGCAAAAATCACCAGCTTTAAATTATAACTATAATGAAAAATGTATCGCGTACTAATTAAGAAGTAATAAAAAATCCTTTCAATTAATATTTATTTCGTTTTTTCTTTTTAATTACACAATATTTAGGCTTGCTTAAATAATACATACTATTACGAATTTTGTATATATATAAATCTTTTAGTGACATTATGTCGAAATTGTTATACTTTTTTACTTCCTTGTACGATGTAAAAAGGAAGTACTGCAATTGTAAAAAATTTCGGGTATCCTATTTCAAAGAAAATATCCATTTTGACTGCTATCGAATGCAATTTAACGACGTTTTTCCGTGACATCTTTGTACGTAAGGATAGAACAGAGGACTCTTTTTCCCCAACGTTTGCACTGGTGTGCAAAACTTAAGCAACAATGTAAATTTTAATCAGATAGCCATGAAATTACAGAAAAGGGGTTCTTGCGATCAGTACAATGAATAAGCAATTCAGTAGAAAGGTCATGCGTATGCAAATCTCAGGAACAAAACGTCACAGGTGACGTGAGCGTACGCAAAACGCGTGCGGTCGGTGCGCTCAACCCAAGACTACAATAATAGGAAGGACGGAGACGCAATTAAAGACACTAGCTGCAAGTACAAGTGAGTTCTTTCATGAAATATGGCTAGAAGAAATCACCT